ACCTATTTTTGAAGCTTAGATATTTGAAAATAAAAAAAATTTTAAAGTTAACAAAAAAATTACCAAATTATTGTATTTGTTTATTTCAAAAATTTTTGAATTATGCAAATATATAAGAAATAATATTTAAAATAGTAATTTACTGACTTTTTGAAGTTGTAAAATTTTAAACAAAAATCCATTTTCTGAGTAATGAAATTGCTGGCAATAAAAGCCATAATACAATTTTTATTCATAAAATTATGCCAAATTGGATTAGTGCAGAAATATACTTTCAAAAAATAAAATAATAAATATTTGCTCTGCAATAAATGCATTCTGATATTCTGAAGCTAACAAACAGCAAGAATATATCTTCAGTTTGTGAAAATTGATTTTTTAATTCTATACTTGAAATAATATTATTTTATTTAAATAGATTATGAAGTAAATCTGTTTTCAAGTTTCTATTACAAAGGTGATTTTTTTTTGCTGTTTTATTTTCAAGTAAGATAAAATCAAAAGTTTTTAATTTTTTTATAAACAATTACCAAATTTGTAGAAAAAAAAATTATTGCATTCGAAATTATCCACTATTTTTTTCACGCAATTTTTATTGGTATTTGAGTAAGACTGCTTCATAGCTAAATTATTAAAATATATTGGATAAAATATTCAGAAGGATTTGGTAGATAATTTGTCAAAAATATATCTCTTCTCGTCAAATCTTCTTTTCTTGTTAATATTTTTTCAAAAAGTCATTTATTATACATTTTTGTTTGAAATTTATGATAAATGAATGGATAAAATATGCATATTTTTCGACATTTACACTTTAACTTTTAGAATAATTTTGCAGAATTGTGCTAAAAAATTTCTTCTTGACTCTTTCATATTTTAAAAGTAAAAATCCCTCAAAAAATTTTGACTAATTTTTTGAAAAACTCAAATTTGATGATTGTTGACATTTTTATTATGCAAATTTTTCAATTACTACAATTTCATAGCATTTTATAAAAAGTATTCATCAGAAAACAAACATCAAAGTAGTGATCAGTTAGAGGCAAATAGAAATGATAATCGATTGATCAAAAAGAATATTTGATAAAATTAATACAAATTGTATTAGAGCAGCAAAAATTGATGTTTTTTTCTTAGATCGAAAATTCTTTTTATTCTTAATTAGTAATAATTAATTTTTTGTGCTAATAAAAACGAATAAATTTTTGCAAATTTCATTTATTTATAAATTTTTTTAATTTTTTTGTCTTTTTCTACAAAAGATTTGTATGTTTGCGTAAATCAGAAATATAATATTACTTTTTCAGCATAAAATATACAATTATTAATTATAATTTCTGTTTTGTACTTTAAAGAATACTTGAGGGAACTTAATTATTTTTAGTTGGAAACGAAGAAATAATAAATCTTCGACATTAACAAATTTTTTTTAACATTATCAATGATTAAAGTATCTTTTGTCATTGATAATGTTTAAAAAAATTCTTATTATTTTGTTGACAGTTAAAGTTTTGACGTCGGAAAATATTAACAGTTAAAGTTTTTTCATACTCATATGATTTTTAAGTATTTAAGTATTTACTTACTTTACGCCAAATTTGTAATTACATTGTAATTTTTTCCATTATTTTGCATGAAAACTTTGGAAATTCAGTCTGATTTTTTTTCATGTATACTGAAATAATATATACTTATTCTTAAATTTGTAATCTTTTAAAATGAAATTAAATTCGAATAAAATTGAAACATGATCTAACGATATCGCATTATTTTCCTTGCAGCTCTATTGTGCTTAGGTAATTTATACTTTGCTTAATCATATTCATTTTCTCTATGGACTTAGAGTATATTTGATAATTTTTTCTGGTTGTTAAAAAGTAATTATGAGCAGCTAATTAGGATGACTTTAATGAGTTGAATGAATTGTTTAGAATTTGAGTTTATTTTTGATAAAATTAAATATTTTATGGTACCTTCAAAGAATTTCAAGATAATGGCATCTGAAATTTTGTTTTCATCTTATTTTTAGGTCTTGGTTTTATTTAAATTTAGCAGTTAATGAAATTTTGACAAGTCTTAAATTTATTTTGATAAATCTGAAATTTGATATTTTCTAAATTAATGCGATTTTAGGTTATATTTTTCAAATGAAAAGTGACACTCGCATTTTTTATAATTTTTAAAACAAAGAATTTTTAATCTTGAAAGTAAGAGTTTGTCAAGAATGGAATGTTCACTGGGTGTCAGCAGTTTACCACTTGACAATTTTTCAATAAATTTTTATCTATTTCTCTCTAAATATAAAAGTTATCTTTTTGTAATAATGTGTAATTAATATAAATTAAAATTAATTAATTAATTAATTAAAACAATGAAAACAGTTTTTGTAAAATATTTAAGCTTTTCTGATTAATTGTTATTTAAAACGCAATGGCTAAGTGAATAGTTGGTAAATTTTGTAATTATTTTCGTATTTTTCTTTGAAATAATAATTTTGAAAAGAAATACCTGAATTATTACTTCATAATTTATTATGACCTAAGATTTAATTATTTTAACTAAAATAACTTTGAGTAGTCTTAATCTTGCTTATTGATAGATTATATGATTAAAAATTGTTTCAAAAAAATTAATTTAAAATGGTCTGTGATTTTTCAGTTTCTCTTGTTTATTAAAATTTAGTATTATTTGTCCAATTGATTAGATAAAAGTTTTCAAACAAATTTTAGCAACCTATTACAATGTCACCGATTAAATATTATAAAAAAATATAATACATAGAAGAGCTTAGACTATATTTTCAGGACAGAGTAAACAGTGTACGTTATGTCTAGCAAAAAATTTTTCACAATAAAAAACCAACTTTTAATGATTCAGTTATTATTTAAATTATTACTTTAAGTATTTACAATTGTGTTTATCATTATCATCACTATTATTATCTATTCAATGTTTTTATAATTTTTGATATCAGTAATATTGTTATTATTATTATTTATTATTAGTGTAATAGTAATGACTGAATTAAGTGATTGCTATTATTTTGCAAAGACAGAATAACTTTGTCATGAATATTTTATGCAAATTAAGTTTACTGTTAAGCAAACTCTTGCTATTCCGATTGAGGCACAAATGAAAGTAAATCGGAAATTACAGCTGGAAACCTGACATTATTTGTACAACTAATTTTCAGCAAAACATTCTCATTTAAATCATTCTTTCTCAATTTACTCTAATAATTTGCATATTTAATGATCACACTGATCGATCATAAATTTTAATAAATCATATATTAACTTATAGGAATACTTATAATCAAAAAATTATATTTATAAAATATTATAACAATTAAATGTCAATTTTGGTGGCTGCTTTGCATAAAACATCATTACTGAATGCTTGAAAAACGTAAATATTGTGAATTACGCCTAGCTGAAGAAAATTTTTGGAATGTTCATGAAATAAATATTTAAAAATTTATATTAATATTTAATATTTATTGAAATGATGTTTGATCTCATTATTTATGTTCTCAAAATACTCTTAAGATTAATTTATTTTTTCCAAAAATTAATGAAGAATATGCTATTAAAAATAAAAACTGTTATGATAGCAGTTATGGTGTGATTTATAAAATGAAATAATTTAAATGCATAAATATTAATATTTGTAATTAGGTTAGTATAGTAATAAAAGTTATTTGCAGAACAAAAATAAAAAAATACTAAGTCATATGCTAATAAAAATATTAAGTTCTATGTTCTCGTTTTTTATCAAAATTTATTTTTATCAGGCTTCCTTCTATTAAAAGTTACTGCGAAAGTTCCGCAGAGAATACCTTTGCAATGACGGAACTGATTTTAGAATAAATTCCTTTGAGAATTAATAAAATTAATTTTGAGAGAAATTCCTCGGAGAATTACTAGAACTGATTCTGAGAAGAATTGCTTCAAGCATAACTAAGAATGATTTTAAATTAAGTTTTTAATATTTGTTAAAGAGCTAAAAGTGTGAATGTTAAGTTTTTGTGAGATAAGATATGGTAATTTAGTGTATTTTTGTTGCATACAAAAAAATAGCTGAGCAAAAAAACAAAGAAATTTGCATTTTCTGTGCATAAATTAAGTATAAATTTATGATAGTAACAGTATTTTTATTTTTTTCCAGATATGGTAATTATGTCACTTTTTTATCTCATCGATACCATATGATTTATTTTTGTTTATTTCCAGGTTTCTTCTCGAGCTGATTAATATTATAATTGTATTCTCAAGTTTTTTAAATTATAAGCATACATGATAATATTTTTGCGGGTTTACAAGTTTTTCTGTTATTTTTATTTTGAACTAAGTAGACATTTTTTCAAAATTTTAAGTATTTTTTTTAATTTTTTAAATATATTTTTTAAGATATTTTTTTTAATTTTTTAAAATAGTTTTTGTGATTAGTATAACTTTAATAGTATACGCTATGTTTACAGATGTATGCATGCGCGAATAATAAGCAAATGTGATGAAAAATAAAATTTATTAAGTGAGGAAAATAATATTTTTTTTGAAAAACAAAATAATTGTTAGCAAAAAAATAAATATGTAAAATAGTTGAACACATACACACATTTCTGCACTTTAAAGTGAAGCAGAGAAATTATGCAAATTTAAGGCTACTGTTTTTCGTGGAATGCATGCGAAACTTAGACTGTTTGTTCTCACTGAAAGTAATACTTCGACAGAAAATTATTTATTCATTTGTTGTCGGTTTCTGGAATTGAATTAAATCTTTGTAGTAGGTTGTATAATATTTATTGAATAGTTATTAAGCTTGTAAATATTTCAAATTCGAAATTTGATGCTTTGCATAAAAATATGATGTCGAAAAAATATCAAGTTTTGTTGCATAAATCTTAATTTTTAAAACTTTATTTAAAATGTAAAATTAAAATGATATGATATGTAACATGAGAAAATGAATCAGATGTTGATTTGATTTGGTTTAAGGAGATGGACCATTTGGAAGGATCAGGTAATAGCCATATGGTAGAGTGGTCAGATGATGAGGATTTAGGTGCAGAAGGATCAGGAATTGCAATGGAAGGGTCAGCAGATGAGCTAGACGAGGTGATCATACCTGCCATTAATGTTGAAGATGTACGGCGTTTAGAACCGACTATTCACACCACTATCAGAGCTTTTACAGGTTACTTTATTATTAAAAATACTGAAATAATATTAGTGATTTTAGTATTAGCATGGAAATTCTAAATGATGATAATAAAAATTATGATTTTTTGGTTTCATGAGAATGTTTTGATGAAATTCCTTTTCATTATTATCATTATTATAGTTATTATAACGCAAAAATAAAGTGAGCTAACAAAAGAAATTTCTATCACAGTTCTAAAACTAAAAATATTTGAAATTAGCTGCTAAAATTTTAATAATAACTATCATAATACTGTTATCTATTAACATTATATATATGGATAAGTATGTCAAAAACCTTAATTAATATCAAAACATGTCCATTTTCAGAAATAAAAGCAGAAACCCGATCACCAAGCAAGCCTCCTGTCATCGCTAAACCACCAGAGGCTGGATCATCTAACCGATCAATGATATCTACGCTGATCACTTTAATATTCACCATATTAATATCAGTAACATTTAGCTGAATTTATGACATAACTGATTCTTTGTTATTGTTGTGTAATTTTAGACTCCGTTGTGAAAAGCATTCATTTCATACAATAATTTTACATCAAATCATAAAGAATACTCAATTTAATAATTTTTAATTAAAGTCAAATATATAATAAATAATAGACTCAAAGATATCTTCAATACCTATTGTGTTAAAAGAATCTTTTTTTGTAGATTTTGTGCTTAGATAATATATAAAAACTGCAGTTTTGGATTCAAGTTATTTTACGAATTGTATAACTTCTATCGAATAATGCTGTTTATTATTGTGGTTGATGTTTTGTGATGAGGGACATTAGGAATACTTGTTGTGAACTGAGATTTTCATTTTCATGAATTCAAATTTTCGGGTGCTTATTCTGTGTTTTTTTTTTTGGTTTTTAAGTTTGTGATAACCATATTTAGTACTACTACTTTATCTATTGTACTTTCATTGTTTTTGACTAAAAATTAGTTAAAAAAATTTTGAGTTTTGACGTTTGGATATACTATACTGTAATGTATGTTTGAGTGTGTTTACGTGTGAATGATGTGTGAATGTTACTTTTTTAAGTGTATCTGTTCACCCTTAAATTTTTACTTTGTTAAAATATCCACTTGCAAATCATTCTGTTTTAAAATTACAATCACTTTAATTTTGCATTATGTGTTCGTTTTTATTTTATTTTCGCTTTCTTCTGTAATTTTATTCATAAAACACAAATTTAGGATAATATGTTCTAAATTTTGAAAGCATTTGCTATTGATTTATAAAAATAAGATCTAATAAATTTTTCGATTTAAATATTATTCAAAAATTTTTTAAATTTTAATATAATACAAGTTTACACTATTTTATTGCAATGATCTTTAAAACGTTGAAGCTTGAATCTTACCTATGATTTGAAATTATGAGCTTAAAGTAAAATAATTTAGCATTTCTTTGCTATCTATTTAAAATGCTTTTTCTAATTCCAGGATTTGAATGTTAGTTTTTTCTTATTGTAATTGTAAATTCTTGAAGAAGATTGAAGCAATGTATTTTGAATGGTAAAAGTTTTTGTTTTCCATCAAATTGTTACAGAAAATAAATTGTAGTGAGAATGATTTCAAGCGTACGAAGTAAATTGCAGTAAATATACGGTAATAATTCAGTTGATATCATTGTTATATTATTATTCATATATAATCATTATTGTCATAGACTTTCTCATTCTCTATAAAGTAAAAAGTCTGAGAAAAAATAACCTTGCTCAATTTATGGATTAGTTTATCATACGCAACTCACATTACTGTTTGTTACTATCATAATTTATGATTGATTAACAGTAACTCAATTTTTTGTATGATTGAATAATTTTTGTTATATTCAGTTTTTTTAACAATCTGCAATATCTCTCAAAACAGCAAAGTTAATAATTGTTTGTGTATAAATAGAATTTTGTTTTTTTGCCAGTTTGCAAATAATTGCAAAGCTTTGAATAAATTAAATTATAATTCAATTATTGAAAACTTTTATAATTTTAATAAAAAATTGATAATGCTATAGCAGCGTTATTTTATTATCTAAAATATATTTTCAATTTTTGTAATAAAAAACCTTTACAAAAGTTTGAAAAACAATCGGTTGTAATTGCGTTTTGTTTTGGAAAATGGTTGTAATGCTTGAAATAATTGCAAATTTCATTCATGCTAGGTGACAGTTTCAGCATTATTGCTTAATTTTAATATTTAAGAGAGAGATCAAATATTTTGCTTAAAATTATTATTATTATTATATCATTTTTGTATTTAAAATACTTTTTGTTTATCATTTGATGATTTGGAAAAAATTCATTTAAATAAGTTAAAGTTTGTGATGTAAATTTTTTGAATATTCATAATGGTAATCTGCACTGACTTAACTTTATCGGCGCAGAACTGAGAACTCTCTGAACGCTGTACTTTATTTTACATTTTTTAAAGTACGAAACTATGAAAATTTAGTGATTGAAAAATATTCGTTGATTATTTTTTATCCATTTGAGAAGTTAGTAAAACAGGAATTATTGTAATTTTTCGTCAGTCTAGCAAAGAGATAGTCATAAATATGCATAGATGAATATTATTGTACGCAGCAATGGTATTTTTAAAACTGAAAAGCAATGAATAAGCGATTCAAAACGATGACCAGGCGCTGAAAATATAGAAGTAACTGAATATTCGGGAAAGTAATGCTGCAGAAATTGATAATCACTTTGAGATTGTTACTGAAGTACCATTTATGGTACGTTAAAAACCGAAAACCAATGAGTTAGCAATTTACTAGAATGAAAGAAATAGTATAAAAAATTTAAATAAAATGGAAAAGCAGAATCAAAGGAGTGAGAAAGTGATCTTTGATGGACAGTGAGTTTCATGAAAGTGAACAAACGTAGAAAGCATTGATGCTGTTTGTAGAACGCATTTTCGTTTAGCAATGGAAGAATTATGGTAAGAGCAGTGGTGTTCAGGCAAATACTTCTCTGTCCACCACTGACTGTAGAAGAACTGACCATATCATCCAGAATGAAGAGGATCAAGCTTATTTTGTACAGTGCAGGCATCCGTATCTTTCTTTCTCCTCTCTGTCCTGAGATCCTGAGATTTCCTTTAGATTCTTTCCTACTTGAAACATGGAGTTACTGGTGATTTGGGATTCTTTGAATGCTATATGCTTATTTTTGGATACATATGAAAAGCTAATGCATACGTCATAGATATTAGATTTGTCACAATCGATCGACCATTATCTAGTGCAAACGTCATTTAAGTAGTAATTGCACGTCATATAAGACAGATTATACGTTTTTCAGTTTTTTTCATATTATTTATGCTAACATTATGCTTTTTTATTTTGTAACAACTGCGTCAGTGATACTGTAAGAAGATTTTTTTAATTTGAACAATAAATCAACTTCAATCATATTTTCAGCGCCGATTTTAACTGTTTTTTTAATATGTGACGCTATGCACGTTATTTTCTACAGAATTGCTAAACTTACTCATCAAAATAAAGTAAACCTTTTGGTGCTTAGTTTTTTCTATTGATTTAATATTTAACGTAATTCAAGTTGATCTTTTGATCCTACATCACCAAAGAACCATACCAGCGTATATGAAGGCAGTACAATGACGAGCGTTGTTTGAATTTTCCATATTTGGTATTCTGTGCATTTTTAAAGTAACTTAATGTTGTGCATAGAGATAAAGCTGCTTCGTCTTTTTGATTTTTGATAACTTAAAATTTTATTATAAAATAAAGATTTTAAATAAACTACTATTGGGGTATTAACGATATGCCAAATAATTATTCAAACATAGATGAGAATATAAATATATTTGCACATAAATAATTCACCAACTGATAGTTATAAAACAATTATCAATATCAGTATCACAAATGCTGCTATGATAAAATAGTTGTTATTATTATCACTATCATACTTCATATCATCAATTCTATGACTTCAACACTATTATACATTGTTGTATTTACTGTTGATATTTCTGTCTGTATATATTATGGCAAGTAATTGGCTCATACTTAAGAACATTTTGGTAATTAATTAATAATGACGCTATATGCAAATTGTAATCAACAATATTAGTACCAGTGCGACGGACATCTAAATGCGTATACGAAAGAGTGATTCATTACATTTTACTGAAATAGTAACTGTTAATTGAAACAATAATTTGCATACTGTCACATTGAATGCCAAACTTACGTGTTACCAACGCTTCCTTTCTCAAAGGGCTGTTATCTTTGTTTTGCGTTCATGTACAGATGTTTGACGTGTTCAATAAACTTTCACCGCTTTCTCTTGCTCACATCTTGATATGTCTAATCTGCATGGGTTGTAGGTCACATGTTATGATTACTTATTTTAGAAATGTTGCAGACGTTCTTCTTGTCAACTGTGATTTGATCATTATATAATTAACTGCCTAATAAGTTTTCATACTTGTTAACCAGTTTTTTTAATTATTCAGATTGTTGCTTTTTTAATTTCCAAAGTTTATTGCAAATATTAGTTCTGCTCCATAAATAAATCGTACATAGAAATCGCAATTACTTCAGACATCTATTTCAAATTTATTCTACAGAAAGAATGTTTTAGCTATATACGATTTTTAGAATTCACAATTCTATTTTTGTATTACTATCCTAGTTAATTTTTGTAGCTTAGAGGAAGTGCTAACTGTGCAGGAATGTTATTTAATTATGTTTTGCAACAAATATTTTTTGCAAGTTTTTAACGACTTTGGTATTTGCAGCAAATTGGACCAACAGTTTTGTGTGTAATTTTTTTTACAATTTGATCTTGACTTTGACCAGTTTTTTGTATGTATCGTCATTAATCTATGACAACTTCAGCGTAATATTACTGTATAAATACCGTAAGAAAGGCAACGATGCAATTGTTTGATCTCTTTATATAGGATTGGTTGCAAATGTCGACGCCAGCGTCGATTAGAGCAATGGAGCTTGCCCGTGAGAGAGCTGCAAGACGTCATCGCCAAGGAGATGGAGCTGGATTAGCTCCATTAACTCAAAAGTGGCCATCTCGACGATACTTTAATGTAGGTTATATTTATGATGTGTTTTTTATCGGATTTATAAATAAGGACAAACAAATGCCTCTTTAAAATTAGTCTTTAAATACTATGAAACCCAAAAAATATATAAATTTAAAAAATTGCTATGAAAACTACAAGATTTAACAAAAATCTCATATGTTAATAAAATATTTTCATTTGAGGCAGGATATCGTGGAAGGAATATTGATTTCACTGCTGATAAAGCTGGTGGACGGCAGTATACGAGTTTTGAGGTCGGAAGGAAAGAAATAGAACCTAGACCACCACCGAAGCCGCTTACTCCACCACCTGTCAGCTGCTAAGATCGTTTTTTGTGAAGTTTAAGGACAAACTATTTTTTTAATCTTAGAAAAATTTGTATAAATCATCTATTTCAAAAATCAAACTATAAATTTTTTTATTCATATTAAAATTGCTGTGTTTATCAGTCATTAGAAAAATTGTAATTTAATCAGATTTTGCCATATGCTTTTTAGAGTTAAAGCTTGTGTTGTGACCTTGTTACCACCAAAATAGTAGAAGTATTTGGGGTTGCTGATTTTGCGTTTACTTTTTATAATTTGGATTAATCTGAATAAATGTATAAACAGTGATTCGGTTAGTTAGATTTTGATCAAATATTATTTTAATTATGACTTTAGGTTGAGGATGTGCCAATCGATATAGATACTGATGATTACAAAGTCGATGCTGATGATGTTATTTGCTTTAGTGGCCGCCAGCATTTCCTTTCAAACTTATATCCTGTAATGTTACTTAACTGTATTTAGTAATTCTTAATTTGTGGTATTCCTCGTGTTGTTTTCACTTTAATTTTTTACATGCAGTTAAAATTTACTTACGTCTTTAACCGGTAATTTAAAACTGTTGTTTACCATTAAGAGGAAAAAAATTCTGATGCCATTTTCTCAATGATATTTTTTAAAGCGTGTTCGTTGTTCACTCGTCCCATTATATGATAATACTGTTTGGCAGGTGACGTTGACAGTAGATGGGCATGATTATCCAAGTGTGGAACATTACTATCAAGCTTGCAAACTTTATACATTAGGAGGTGCACGACTTGCAACTCAGCTACGTTATATTACAGATGCTGGTCAAGTAAAAATCCACACCAAGAAGCTGTTGCGCGCAGCTAATGTTTCATTGGAAAAAGTACTTGTGAAACTATTTCGCTAATATTTCGTGACTATTAAATTTCATAAAACTATCAGCTGTAACATATGTATATGCAAAGGCTTACTATATAAATCAGAACAAAGAATTGTTCAAGTAAGTATAAAACTATTCCTTTTAGAGCAATTTTGAAAATTTCTCACTGCACATAAAATCTTTTCATGACAACTGTTTTTAGATTGAAGAATGGAAGCGTACTCAAGGCCCAGTTTTGTTACACCATGCAATTGTTCACAAATTTGTGCAGAATCCTGAGCTCCGGGCAAAACTTATAGAGTCAGGTGGCGCTTTGCTTGCTCATACATATGAACGGGACAATATTTTTGCTACGGGTTGCGATAGAGAGAAAATGATGGAATGGGCAACGAACAATAATGGACAAATCATAAAAGTAAAAGATATATGTCTTATTGATGAGTACAGTAATATTTTCTTTGATCATTATATATTTCTTTTCATTAAAGACTCAGGAGTTATTGAAAATAGATCGTGCTAGTATTAGTATTAATCTTTTTTAGCGGATTCCTTTCAAGTTGTCCTTATACTCTTTACAGACTTAAAGTGACTTTGCTTGGCAATATATGTCTTATTTCTGTAGATTCCAACCAAAATTGATAATGGAACATTAGTGTATATTCCTCTGGTGGGAGAAGGCAAAAATGTTCTTGGTTTTATCAACATGAAGGTTTCTTTCTTTATTCAAGCGTGTTTTGATGAGTATCTTCATTTTCTCTTAATGAAAAAACTTTAATGTGGTTTTATTTATTGCAAGAGCTAAAAAATCATTACATTATTATAGTTTATTAATACGCTGAAAGTATGTCGCACATCACAACTTTTGTAAGAAATGTTTGCAGTGGGCAGTTTCCAGGTACGCCAACAATTACTACAGTTTAAAGCAACTCAGGCAACATTGCCACCCTCGACAGATCCAATCATGATGGTAGCTATGCAAACACTTAAGCTAGATAGTCCGACAAAACCGGAAAGTATCACAAATTGAAGCTTTACATTTAAAGCCAACATGATCTCGTCATAATTGCAGCGTGAATAGGCCATTCAAAAAGAATTCTGGTGCAGTTCCTTTACACCATCTTCTGTTACTCTTCTCTGAAATTTAGAGTTCAGTAACTATGTTCTTTCATTTTATTGGAATGGTTCCCACTCACATTTTAGGACTTGACACCTCTCGAAATATGTGAATGTTGGCACTTACCGTTTGTCTTGGCTTCCCTTTTCACTCCGGTGAATCAATATTTTAGAAATATTTTATGTTGTTGAAAACATATTGACTTTAAGCCACACTATTAAATCTTCGTTAAGTAAAATATTGCTTCGCTATTTCATTGCTTTTCTCCAGTCATTTTATACAGATGGATCACTTTGTGGGCACTTCCACTGCACAACTGGTTTGTTTTCTTACATTCTTTGCTTTTTTTACCATCTTATTAAGGTGAAATCTAGTAAAATATGTGCGGGTAATCCAAATCAGACTCAACATCATAATAAATCATTCAGTCCAAAAACTCTGAGCACAGGTGATCAGAATAATCGCATGCCTCTTCATTCTCATTTTTATAGCAAACAGTACAAGATAACTACTGAATGAACTAAGAGATTGGGAATGTGGATTTGTTTGTACTAGATATATTGTGCTTGTGATATCACTTGTCATTTTATTCGTTTTAACACTGGCAAACCGCCCAAAGATACTTCTAGCAACTGTATTTCTTTTGAAGACTTTTACCTTTGGCTCTTCAGGCCGTCGAATATATGCCAGCCTACCTCTAGGGGATTTAGTACTGTAAGCTCATTTCGGTGTCATACCAATCATGAGTTATTGAACAGAATTTGGTATCTATCTTTCTGTCAATTGCCAGTAAAATGATTCCATTTAGTCATTTGCTAAAAATATGTTGTTACTTATTTCCGTAGTACTTTTAAGTAGCTACCATAAGTATAGCGGTAGACTTCATAGAGTGTCTAAATGACACTTAAACGTACCAAATGAAGGGAGCAGTCTTATCAATTTAAGTCCTATATGAAAGTAAATTCATTCCTTGTTGCGAAGTTCATAAGATGTAGGACTTTTGATTTTGAAGCTATGTAAACACCTTTCAAGAGAGGTAAATTTCAAAGCAGAATGTAGAAGTGAGGTCCTCAATGTAAAGAATGCAGTGCTGAACTGTATCCAGTAGAATTTGTACCAAGGATTTGATAATATTCTTTTAATATGAAACATAGCCTCAAAAAATCTTACGTATGATTAAAATTAGCTTGGAAATCCAAATTGCTCTGGCAGTTTCCGTGTTGGCAACTCAAGACATGTTAAAGTCAGTTATTAAAAAACGTTAAAAGAGATGGGTTTTCTTTATGTAGAGATGTGATCAGTTTAGAGTGAACAGACCCTCTTCAGCTCGGATAATATCTTCCTCCACATCAACATATGCTAATTTCGCTTCTAAATAAGTTGTGTCTTTTCCGCTGCTACGTGCTCGTTCTATTTCCTGACGCAGAAAATATCTTTTGAAGGTTGATACCACTTCGTGTTTCGGAGCATTTAGAAATCCATTATAATCTCTTCTAAAAACATTACAACTGGCAGTAAAACACTACACTGACAGCATTTGTAGTAAAGCGTAAAATAATAACATTAAAAATCAATAAAACAAAGTTATCAGAATTTCAAAAATTAAAAAGGCTTCAAATTAAAACAAGGACCACTGACTTGGAACACCAGAAATATATGCAGACCACTGCAAAACTGCTCCAGAATGACAGCAATACTTTTCGTTTGTGAGCTGCTGACTCAAATACATCTAAATAATCTAATGATGCGAATTCTGCTTTATCCAGCAACTCTCGTTTATCCGTACCAAAATATGCTTTGCTTTCGCTAAATTTCGAGATTTTCTTCGATTGCTTTATTTCTAAACAAAGGTTTAAAAGTAATGCAAGTTTTCGATTCATTAAAGCAATCTACATGAGTAAAAAGTAGTCTAAATCACTAATCTAAATCCATGAATATAAAACAAACACAGCAGTAATAAACACAAAAATTAATCCATTTTCACAAAGTCATGTTTAGTTTTCTTCTTCATTTCATTTGCAGTAAATGGACTTCAGCATAACTGAACTATAATCTTATTCACTTTAACTAAAAAGAAACGAAGCTAAACAAGCGTCACCACGAGAAACAAATGCTTCCGATGTTTCTTTCTGTTTGATTGCTGTAGAATGACCACTGGTAGTTGGCAAACCAGCATCTCGTCTGAATTCTCCAGTATTAGTAAAATGCAAACAGTCACAAACAACTGATCATAGAGTACTCACTGTTGGATTCGAGATTAGAAACCGAACTATCATGTTTAACACTTGTAAGAAAGCTAAAAAAAAGTGTCAAAAGCAGACTTCAGAATACAAATGCTTCAGCCTAGTAAGAGTTCTTAACTATTTACTGCATATACATGTATTTCAACACGGCGAAATAAGATCACCAACCTGAATTCCTTCTCCAAAACAACCGAAAATCTCTGCATACGATTACTAACACATATTTTCATATTCCATGGACTCTTCTGAACTAAAAAATCGGGGAAGACGTCACAATGATCCTGATCAAACGTAGAGAATAAACCTAAACTCTTTAAAGAAATAAACATTCCTATGCTATCAGTAATTTAGGTAATTAGAAAAACCAAAACTGCAAATAAGGAACACAAAAAACATCTGAATCCGAACTAATTTTTGTGGCTAGTAAATATGCATGAACAAAAGACCATCCAAATAATTGTAAGGTCAATTTCCTCAGTTAAGTATTTATTTTTCTACACAATATTTTAATATGTAAATTTCAACTGTAAGAGGACCACAACACTTGGCAATTTACAAAACTCAAACTGAGCAAACTATAACAATCATGAAAATTACAAAATAAATTGAAAATAACCGTTACAATACAGTAACTTATTTGTAATGACGAGTGGGAAAGAGATTTTCAGAGGATAAAGAGTATTTCAAAAATAACGAGTATAGATGACAACAATATCAAACTTTGATAATATGAAGAACCATATTCAAAAATTATGATTCAGAATAAAACTGCACAAGTCTGATTCAAGACTGTAGTAAGAGGTAATGAATGAAAAGTGACGGTAATGAGCGCAAAAATTGCCATTTCTAACAAAATGAAGTGCTAAAACACGAAATAAATCATGTAATATGTTCGAAACCTTCTAATTTAGACCAGTGAGCAGAAAGTTTAACTTGAAAAATGGACATCTTATGATTTAAAAATTTTAATAATCTGCACTGATCGGATGTTAACTTATCACCTTCTTTGCAAACAGTATGGTGTGATATCAACGACACTACACCTGAAAAGTCGATAATTATACTTTGAATTTCTGAAATATAAAACAGCTTCTGAAAAGCTAACTTACGCATAAACAGAGGATTTTGGCAAAGGACTATTAAATTATTGTAAACAGACTGCTTGGACAGGAAAATCAGTATCATGTACATGAATCAAAATGAGTTTCGAATACAAATGGGTATTGCTAAGAAGCAGAATTCAACTTCTCTATCTTCTAATCATTAACAGAATAGTGTGGTCATACTACTCTAAAATTAGACAGTTTAGAAAAAAGCTGTAAAATTATACCTTTATCTAACTTAGTAGGTAAGCCAAGTTTTCTAAGCTGTGGTTCCAATGAAAAAGGAAACTGCTGTAAAGGTCCTTCACATAACTCCACTGTACAAACAGCTCTTTGACCACATCTAGCAAAGTCTGTGATGTGCAATTTCTTGAAATACCTGAAATATCGTAATTAACATCAGATAATTTTTTTAAATGCCTAACCAAAAATGATTTAAATTAAGAGAAATGAAGATGATGCTCAATGTAGATAATGCAATCTTGCAACAGAAAAGAAAAACCCGTAACAGATGAAATATAGCTTACTCTACAACGGTTTCTTGATCACCGTTTGTGAACATTAATCCGCACTCCCCCTTCAAAAAATCTTTTATCTGAAACATTAATAAATCCAATTTCATCCAAACAATTAACAAAGAGTCATGATAAAAAAAAAAAACTTCTTGCTTTCTATATTTAACTCGGTTCAACATCAGATGCTATTTAAGAAGTATATACTTTGCTTAATCCAGGTGCATATTCTGTAGAAGTACTTTTACCAAGTGCTAATGCCATAACATTATTTTTGCCGTAGAAAAAACGCGCATTATTTTTAAACTTCTGTCTTATCTGAAATGGATAGTACATGAACGAAGAAAAAAATCACTGAAAAATATTTTCTACAAATTTTTTTCTCTGCCAATCCTATAATTAATGGTATTACTTTTACTAGATGCTTATTTTTATCCGAACACATTGAGAATACAGAATTTCGAAATTAAAGTATAAACTTAAGACTTACACACAGCAGCCTCTAGTACTCTGCACTGTCCAATGAAATTACAGTAAATGAAAGGATTTTTTGCATTTTTGCAACGAAGAATCTGCTACTTACTTCTGTAAATTTTGATGAACGCATATTTTCAATTTCGAATACAAATAGGTGCTTGTATGTATCAACACATTTACGTATCCCATCAACTAATTTCACTTTATGCTCTTTAGTTTTTTTCTTTACTCGAGTTAGCGATACTGAAAATATTACATATAAATTCAAAAAAAAAAAGAACAAAACCTAGATAATCCTCTTCCAGTTTCAAATTTTATCTGGTTTGAAAATTTTAATACTAAATAACTGACTCATTTCTAAAATCCATATTGAAAGTCGAGTCATTGCTATAAAAAGCTCTAAAAGAACAAATAAAAAAGACAATTCAAACTGAATACTACCATCAATTTCACGTTTCGATTTTGGCATGTCTGCATAAACTTCACCACAAACCTAAAATTAACGATGAAATTCATAAACATATAAATCTATTCCATCTGGAAAAATCGTAGTTCGTACACAAAAAAGTCAAGTGACTCAATCCTTGACGATCTCTCTTTTCTTACTACTTGGTATTTCGTGTACAACGAAATTCTAGAATTATCCCAGCATCAACAATTCAGATGTAAAAATATTCAGGTGAACGTATGTGAAACGATTTAGCTTACTGAGAAAACCAAAGATAGTCATAAAAGCCTTCAAGTTCGGATGAAATGTTGCAATTGGACACTATAGCAAATTTCGACTGAAATGTTAGAAATCAGTACATCTGCAGCAGCTTAATAATAAACTAATGACGATTAAATATGAGCAAGATGTCAAGTATGCTTTGATTTTTGTAATGATACTGGTCACAATGAGAATCAAGGACCGATTGAACTTCAGCGCAAATACAATCGAGAAATATAACACACAATACAGAAAAGGAGAAATAGTAGCAATGGCAACCAGTCCTTTACAAATGACATTAATAATTCCAACAATTTAGCTATCAAGAAACATGAAATAAGTGCAGGTAACAGCAAATGCGTGAAAACTGCCTCGATTTATTTCTGGATGAGTATAATGGAATAATAATATTAATAGTAGATCGTTTAATTTGATCTAGTGAATACCAATCTTCACATTACTTGCCAGTTATAGTACTAAATAAGAATAGTTCTAATTCAATTTTATTTTAGTTCCATTATAGAAGTTTACATTTACGACATCTAGAATCACTTAAATTTACAAATTTATGACAGTGAAGTGCAGCACCATCACAATAAACTTACACACAATTATGTGTCTAAAGAAAGACTGATTATTTGCAGTATAAAATATAAATCAGGAAATAAAAATCACAAGTACTCTGACGTAGTCGCCAGCTCCTTACTCCTATGCACCAGTACTACTTTTTGCAATCATATCTTGTATCCAAGGGTGAGTGAGCACATCCTTCAGCGGCAAACGCTTCTTTGGATCTATTTGCAACAGCTAAAAAGAGCGAAATGCAGCTTTGGTACCGAAATCAATTATGACAATAACCTTATGTTTGTAAAAATTCGAGCACTAAATATAACCATGAAAGTGAAAAACAAACTTTTCTTATCAAATCCTTCGCACCCTTCGGCATATCCACTGGCAACGTATATCTGCATTTGTGAATATTTTCAAAAGTATCATGATAAGACTGCAAAATTTTACAGTAATTTTTATAAATTATACACATTTCTTATTATATAATTTTAAGTGAATTTATTTTTATCCCTTTCAGATGCCGCAGATACTAAGAGTAACTTAATGAACATAATTATAAATGAAAAACAATTTTCCGGCAATAAAGATTTTTATTGAAAGTTTTCTGTTGTTAGTTTTGCTAGTAGAAAAATAATTTGTGATAAAAAGGAAGAAAATTAAGAAACAAAAAATAATGTACATATGCTTCAAATGCTGGCTTTCCAACAAGAAATTCATACAACATAACACCGAGAGACCAATTATCTACCATGTTATCATGAGTGCCATTTGGAACCATCTCTGGTGCCAAATAATCCAAGGTTCCGCAAAGTGTGGTCCTCCTGAAAGAAATATTAAGAGTAAAGTCAAATACACTGTAGTTTCTATTATATCTCTGGCACTACATTAAAATGATTTTCAAAACACTGCGCCAGTTTACAAATTATGTGTATAATTTGCAAACTATAGTTATTTGAGATCTTTAATTTTGAGTGTTATTAATTTCGAAGAATTTTTTTGAGTATATTAAATGTAATAAAATGTGATCGTAATAAATTACAAACTTCGATGATGGCCCATGAACTGACCAACCAAAATCTGAAATCTTCAAATCCCCATTTAGACTAATCAAAACATTTTCTGGTTTCAGATCTCGATGAAGAACTTTTTTCTGTTGGCAGTAATCCATAGCCGATGCTAACTGATACATGTATTTTGCAGCCAATTCTGGTGGAAACCTTTCCATCTGTAATGAAATAGTAACTCACAATAAATTTCGAGGTTACTTAATCTACAAAAAAGCATGTTCTTCGTGAAAAACCAAATAAAATGAACTGAAACAAATTATGAGTACTTTGCGAAGAAGCTGGAAAAGATTCCCTCTTGGTGCAAACTCCAGAACCATATAGACACGCTCTTTATCGTGGAAATATCCATACAAACGAAGAATATTTGGATGCCTGAAGCAGATAAAAACTTCCAGTGAGATTCTTCTCTACCAGCTGCGAATAAAAGTGTAATATGTTTTAGTTTAAAATTCACATAAGCTGAGGTAATAACTTCAAATGCTATTTTAAATTAATTATTAATGAAATAATGACGGAAAAGATGAAGCAGACCAAGTGATAGGGATTATGACAATCTACTCGATTTTTATTTCCGAATTTTCCCAGAGTTTTCGAATTATACTTTTATTTTACAAGTAATACATTGCTAATTATCTATAGTTAAATATATTTACACTAATAAGATGTTTTTGGAGCTAAATATGTTAGTAAAGTGTAATTAAAAATATATCAATTACAGTATTGATATACTCATGTTATCACCCACGCCAATACCAAAACACACAATATCATAACATAGTAAACTGAAATGACTGTGTGGCCATACCTTGAAATGCAAAAATGAAGTAATGTTTTTCTCAACTGAAAAATATTTTGATTTGAATCGAAAGAATCTAACCTTAAGTGATATTGAATCTCAATTTCTCGTCGTAGCTGACGTTTCAAATTGTTAGGCGCCAATTGTTCTTTGAATACAACTTTGAGTGCAACAACAAATTTTGATTCAATTTCACGCGCCAAATAAACATTACCAAATTTACCACGTCCAAGCGGTCTACCTACTTCAAAATCATTCAAAGTCCAAATCCGATTATCTCGTTCGTTATTAGTACTTGTTTTTCGTTGGCATTCATCGCTACCTCTTTCTTCTAAATGATCATCAGCAGAATTCATCGTATCAGTCTCTGTAAAATTTCAAAAGCATCAACTGATATACGACTGAAGGGTGAAAATGACTTTAATATTTTTAAACAAAATTAACTTTATTTTATGAATTACTTAATCTCTAATAAAGTTTGCAAATGATACTATCTTTGACAAATGCAGACTTAATTGATATTAAAAATGCTTATTACATATACCTTATTTCAACAATCCACCAATTATTCTAGCATTTATTTCACTTTCGATTACTGTGCTATCAACTAACTTTATTACTGCAGTGGTAAACAAAGTTTTATCGATAGACTAAATGAATAACAGCAAAAGTCCGACCAGGCAGGCACTCACCAGAAGCAATATATACACAAGACTGGCCTCAATGCTTGCAATGTATTTGAATGGAATTCTTTTCGAAAGATAAAATTTTAAAGCATAATGAGATACTTTCATCATATATGTTAATGAGTGTACAAAAGATGGAGAGGAAAAGATAAAAAGCTACAGAAGAATGCAATATGCAAATTTTTGCATGCAAATTACTTTTCTAGGGACATGTTTCAGATGGAATGACTTGAAAAGTTTCCGTCCGGTCGTATTGTCTGACTACAGAACTCTCACTTCAGATTCTTCAGGAACACTTCTTTTGTTGTTCGATAAATAACATAAATAGCTTGTTATTAACGAATATATTAGTTAACTTATACTATTGAATTTAAAAGTTATCCTTACTACCAGCTAATAATTTTAGATGATACTTATCTGCTCAGAATTCAAGTGTTTGGTTGCTCTTTGAAGTCACAAACTTAAGTGGTAACTTTATCCAAATTAAATCTCATCGATTCCTCGTGTGAGTTAAGGCAACTTCAATTCATCCTATTTGCAGTTTTTGTATACTCATTCTTGTCACGTTTATTAATTTATTTTTTATGCGACAAACTGAACTCCGAACTTCTGACTAAAATTGTTCCAAAATTTTTTGGTTGACAAATTCGAAGTTGCATTGACCACGTCATAATCCTTAATTGGTATTTTTATTTTTTGTAGAATTAAATCACTTTAACAGATAGAAATATAGCTACAAATATTTAATATTTACACACTCTGAACCTATTTTTCAATGCTATCTATTTGACCATTACCATATATTTAAAAAATTTGAGGTAAAAGTCAGATTTTTAGAAATAATGGAAGAAATGTTATGTTCTGAGGCCCCGTCTAAATCCCGTCAATGTATGCTCAGCACTCTACAATATACTGCACTCCTTAATTTATCCATTTAAACTTCTAGAAGCACTAATGAAAACCATGCGGAATTAGTACCCTTCATTGAGCATGTCCATGTTTTAAAAAATAGAAGGCTGGAGAAAATTAACATCAAAAGTATGCCGTTAGTTCACAGGAAAATCATATAAGCTATATTAACTCACGCAGTGCAAATATCATGGTACTTACACAACATTCCTAATTAAGACCTATAAAACTTTTATTACATGAACATTATATATATTCCTCCGCGCTAATACAACGTATTCTGAAAATGCCGCTTTCAAAATAGAGCTGAAAGTTCCAGCGCTGAAATAAATGATACGTTTTCGTTAGTTACTTCTCATGTACCTATGAAATTGCACTATTTATATCCTCATTTCCAAAAAATGAGAAGTCTGAGAGACCATTTTGCATGATTTTTTCTAAAGGAAATAAATAATATGCACTGCACGAACTATACTTCAAATCATTGTACACTCCTAAAGTTCCTTTATTGTTTAAAAGTTATGTAAAGTAGTCCTTTGCAAACATAGTATTTTCGAATTTATTTCCAAAATGCTGACTGATTTAATCTAATACATATAGTTACGCTGCATAGCATTATTCTACAATAAATAATTCATGAGAGAAATGATAACAGGAAGCTCATTTTCAAGATATACAACATATTGCACCAAAAAAAGCAAGTATTTTTATTTTATCACGAACAGTATGCAAATAAGCAAATTATCCAACCTTAAGAATATAATACCCGCCTTAAAGTATTCCCGTTCCAATGGAATAATGAACGAATTTCGCTTCACAACTACAGTTCACATTCTATTTTCTAAAGTATGAAACCAAGATATAGCAAATCAGAACTTCTTGTAGTTATGTTCGCTAATGTTAACTGAAGAATATCACTTCTGATAAAAACAAATTAGCAGTAATAAGAACCTAGAACAATATTACCACCGATTCTGTACGCTTCGTTCCTACGCAGAGACTCCTCATAATGTTTTAGCTGCAAGGCTTTTAAGGGATAGACATCATCCAGACGATTCATATCTTCTTCTTTCCGCGATAATAAAGCACCTTCGACTATACGACAAATCATCTCACATGCTATATAATTCAGAACTAACAAAGCATTGGGAGCTATTTCAGGATCTCCTAGCCACTTCAAAAACCGTCTAATTCTAGCTTTCCTGCAAAAATCAACATTTCTGAACCAAAAACATGAAAATCTTTCGAAAATTAAAACTAGAATGATTTGAAAGTTTTTCGTATTTAATATTATATATTATAATTTGAGATGCCCAGTGAATGCATAATTCATTTTACTTCTCGGAATTGAAATTAAATGCACGATACTGCACAATCACTAAATACTATGTTACTAATTCTTAAAACGCACGGGATAAAATGACAGAAATGTGAAGAAATATCATTTCAATCTGAACCCAGACAAAATATAAATTTTATCAACTGAACAATACCTAATACTATGACCAGCGCAAAAGCTGTATGCTCGAGCTAATGTGTAATTTTTGTATTCAAATTCATCCATATGTGCTGCGCGTTCAGACAATCTTCTCAGCCGTTCACGCTTTTCAACGTCTATTCTTGTTTCGTCTTTCAAATATAATTGAAGTTCACCTGTTACATCAAACAACCCAATAGATTCATATATTGCTTGGGCTCTTAAATATGAACCACATATTAAAAATCTTAAATCATTTAAGATAAAATGATATAAGTCACAAAATGCAAAGTAAATTCTTGTTACTGATGTTTCGCTCCATCTTAATTTGTAATAATAGTTTATTACTTGAAACAACAGCACAAAAATAGAGAAAAGCACATTTTTAAATTGACATTTATGATATTGGTATGAATGCATAATTTTTTTAAAGCACTTGTTACTTTTCCATCTAAAAAAATAATATCTACGCACTGAGGCAATAAAGGAATTATAATTAGTTTCAAAAACTACAAATGACTGATAACTAACGCTTTCCCACAAAAACTTGAACTACTGCTTGGAGCTTCGGTTAATATATCAAACTGTGCTTCACCGGTTTCATTAAAAGCTTTTAACAGATCTGCTGACTGCAAAAACTTAATTACTGTGATGAAAAAGTAAAGCTTTGATTTTTCTTCATTCCAGACCTTCCGTAATATCAATGAATAAACTTTCAAAAGTATCCTAAGCTTTTCAAATAAACCATACTTGACCTTGGAATTTTTCACTTCAAAATACAAAGTGAGATTAGGGAAAAAAATTATTAATGATTACAGAAAAATTCCCTACTGTGAAAAATTCTGTTAAAAATTTTATAGATGTACGATAAGTAAACACTAAATCAATGCATACTGAGTCCTTTATAAGTCTACTGAACTATTAAAAATTCCGAAAACTTACTTTGACAATATTGTAAATACGCAAGAGGTGAAATGGTTTTTTACGGAAAAGAAATAACAAATCAAGGCATTCAATTCTTTTGCATCTGCAAAATGTAAAAATGAAATTAAATGACAATATCTTACTATGAAATATGATAGCAATGATGCTACAAAATCGAACGAAACCATCACTATACATGATAAAAACCTTAGGCACAATCAAGAACAATAAATGAAAATTTTCAGCCAAGTTCGAACAATATGACTAAATAATGTCTAAAATAACTGTAAAAATGTTTAACCCTCGTTGTGCTGCACAATTCGAGGCCCGACTAATAGTATCCATCATTTGGTTGTACAAAACATTAGCAACAAACTGATGACTTCTGAAAATAATCAATTTCTTTCCGTTTCATCATGCAATGCAACGTAAAAATTGAAAACAAAGCTCGGTAAAATCTCAGATTATCATTAAAATCGTGAAAAATAGAAGTATTGACAGCTAAAATTCGACCATCAAAAAACATCATTGGCTTAGCAAACAGTAACAATGCCAAAACTCAACGAACAAATTTCAATTCTTCTCGACATGATACCTAGAGTTGGAAACAAGTTTCAACAATAGCAATAATCTTATCTGAAGATTTGAAGTGATTTCAGTCTATCTGAAGTAGCTTGAAGGAAAAGTAATCAAAAATTTTACAATTCAACTTTTCATATTATTATTTTCTAAAATCTTCAAACCCTTTTCAAAAAAATCGTGTTTTTTCTTCAAAAAAAGTAGAGTAATAAATATATTGACCTCTGGAGCGGTTTAGCTTCATCGCCGTAAGCGAACATCAATTTTCCGATAGCTTCATATACATCTTCTGGAACTGAACCACTAGCAAGCCTCATGGTCATATGCTTACTGTATAAATACAAATATTAAAATACAGATATACATTTAATGCAATAAATCAGACCAGACCAGAATATCAAATGTGACACAAATTAATGCGGTGAAATTTGACATACTGAAGTTGATTGCATTGATAATGAATGGTATTTTATGGCTAATAATAGCGTGATATGAACTGTTTAAAAGTATTGTCCGTAGAATTGAAACGCATTACTTGAATATTTTGCAAAACCAATTACACTTTAAAATTTAAAAGCTACAGCAAAAACATATGCTAATGATATGCTTTAATTTTTCTAAATATTTCTGCGCAAAATCAGACATGATCAAATCCCTTCTCACATTTCGTTAAAATACAAATATGCACGATAATATCATATAATTCTCTGCTGCACAGCATTAACCAATCAAAAAACTATTCTACTGATAAGGAAAATTTGTCGGTTAATGAAAAAAGCACGCTAAAGTGTAATAATTACACTACTATTAGTTGACGACAAATTTTTCTTCCTTTCCATCCAAACTTTCTTTTTTAGTGACACAGTTCAGTATCATAGCTTCACTTGTTAATAAATTTGTAAAATAAGCTATTTACTTTTACAATAATTTTAAGCTTTCAATAATTAAGATGTCTCCTATGTACTTTGACACCCGTTAAAATAACGTAAACGTATTAATATATAATCAAAGTTATTAATGAGCGCTTATTATAATAAGCACTTTTGCTTGATAACAATTTATTTTTTAATCTCATACAAATGCTATCCATACGTGAAGTTTGCATAAAAACAGTGACCATGAAAAATAGTACTTTAATAGCGTATTTTTCAATTAAGCAATATTATTTACTATAATCATTGAATCTGATACACTATGAAGTAAACAAAAAATACATCTTTCATCATCAATTTTTCTATAAATTACAAAAATAATAATTTACAACAACTTTGCCCTCACAAATTATAAAATAGTAGACTACCATCGAAGAAAACTGATAAAAAAAGTTAAAAAACAATGAAAGTAGAATATGATACTAAGTCATTTATTTTCTATATAATTACATTCGACATTGCTTTCATGACTGACTTTCACTACTATCTAAGAACAGTCCGTAGATATAGGCTGCTGTAATGAAACAGCCGGTTCATGAAAGCAAAGTACAGGTGTGGATTCGAGTTGCGAATAAATTTATTATACAAATGAATAAATAAAAAATTTATTTCAAAAAAAAGAAAATAAATGACTAATAAATTTATTTAAATTTTGGCGACATTTTTTAGCTAATTGTATTGCTTTGATTTGTGATTCACACTTCATTTACTTTGTATAATTTCTTATATTAAACTTGTTGCTTTTGGCTGCCTTGCATATCGAGCTATATCCTCGTTTTACATTTATTTTCACTATATTTTGCGTTAATTTTAAATTATGGTAATTTTAGTGAATACTTCTGCGCTAATTTGAATATGTAATGATTCTAAATATCGCCCCAAAAATAATTTACAATGCTATATTTTGGTACCTATATTAATTTCCTTTATGAAGCTAAATACCACAAATGTTATATATTCACACATATGTAATTAAATTATATTCAAGTTTCTAATTATATTTCAAATTTTTTAGCAAAATAATATCTAAAACTCAAGATAATAATGCAGAATGAATCATTTGACATTGCTTAATTTGCGCGTATTTGCAATTGTCTTGAATAGTTTCAAATATTAAGTTATTTTTCACTGTTGAATATTTTCACGTCATAACTTGGTAATTTCATAGAGATAACAATGACGTCAGTTTTGGATCAAATGCGGACAACAACAAAAGTTGTTGCAGACTGCGTTGATTTTGCAGGTATGAAGTCATGAACTTTTTGAAATAATTATTGACATTTAAATTTTGACTTCAGTTTTATCTATCTATAAAATAAAAATAAGATAAAATGTGGAGATTAGTTTTCGTTTTCGTTTTATTGATTCCGGTGCTGGATCGCATTCGGATACTCCGGCTGTACTTGTCTCGCGCTGTTTGCTGTGCTCATCGTTTTCTATGAGCACAAATCTGACCATAATGAGTATCGAAGGAGATGCGAGTGTCTTCTTGAGAACTATCGATTGCATGTATGCCTAGACGTGATCAGATATACTGGTCTCCTTCGCATAGCGTTTGTGGAAGCTCGGTACAATCCCATCCCAAGTCATCATCATATATCGAATTATTTTGGTCATGCATTTTATCTCTGACCCAAGCTTATTAGCAGGTAGGTCATATTTTCGCTTTTTCCCAGACCCGACTGCTGTCCTGACTAGCGATGACAACTTATATCAGGATTACTCCACAACTTCATCTGTTTTCCCATTGGTTTCTACTGTGATTGCAGATGCGGTTTTTCTCTGTTCATCTTCCGTTTTCTTCGTGGACATTTGATATCCTTACTGTACAACCACGGAGCATTCTTTTTTGAACTTTTTTTGCAACAGTCTTTTCTTCTGCTTTATTCATGCCATGCGTGTCATTCTTCTTTACCTTTTTTTCATACTTCCTTCAGAAGTATGGAACAAGTTGGCATGAGCATTATCTTTACTTCTTTCCGCTTCTTGGGAGTCGCCTGTGATGTGGAAGATTTTCAGAAACTCGTTCGGAGCCATTAAATAACTGATTTATTTGATTGCTGGAATATTCTCTTGTATTACTACCTTTTCCACCATTCTAGCGTCCTTGACTGTTGATACCATTACGTTTGTTCTTGTAACTGATCGCACTGGTATTTCCGTCATTTATTTCCATATTAGCATCTTAACACCGTCATAACAAGTAAAAGCAAAGAATGGAATGGAAGCCAGAAATAGAAATAACGAAGGAATAACGTGTTTCTTCCAAGATCAAGCGCAGCCTGTTGTCTACAATTACCTCTGACTTACGTAATATAACCTATTTATATGGAGAAAGGAGCATAAAGCTCTTCTCAGTTGTACAAATGCTGAAATTTTAGATCTTTTAAATTTATATTTAACAGTTCTGGCAGTAAAGATCAGAAACTCGTGAAAGCACTTCATCTAATTCAGCTGCTTACACTACTTATTTAAGATTTTGTTGTTGTTCAAAAGTTCTTTTATTTCTTCTGTGTCACAACTGATACTTCCTTTATCAAATTTTCATCAATTTGTGTGCACATATTATGAATAGTTTCTGGCCTTATTATGTTACTTAATGTTCATCTTCTAATACTTTTGATTTTTAGCTATAAAACTATTTGGTGCCGTCGATGCAACCACAAATCCATCAATATTATTAGCGGCATCCAAACTTTCTGAATATAAACCGTTTTTGGATGAAGGTATTGCATATGCAAGAAAACATCAGTCTCTAAACTGTCGAGAAGTAAATAATACTTTTTCAAATTTGCTGTAAAAATAGTTCAATAATTTAATACTTTGACATCATCATAAATTTTGCGTTTGTCATTCTTGAGCGATTTTGCTTTTTAGTTAAAGCACTTTAAGAGTTGTTCTGAAATCTCTCAAATTTTTTAATTACTAATTAATTGATCGAGAAGGAATCATCTATATATTAATCGTCGTCTTTTTAAGTATCGATAATCCTTTAATGCTGAAAATCAAGTTATAATTTAAAATAAATTATTGTGTGGTTTTTAGAAAAATAATTGAATCGTTATTTATGACATTTTCACCATATGCAGATGCGCGCTTTGGCTATGGACAAAATCGCAGTTTTGTTAGGAAAAGAAGTACTGAGCGTTGTTCCAGGTCGAGTTTCAACAGAGGTCGATGCAAGGTTTGAGATTTAGTGCTTCATGTTCCTTATTTCTTGAATCATTCTTAATTCTTAAACCACTGAAAATGTAATGCATTTAATATTTTCAGACTAGCATTTGACAAAGATGCCCAAGTTACAAAAGCTTTAGCGTTAATAAAATTATATGAAGAGGAAGGCATCGCAAAAGAACGCATTCTGATCAAAATACCTGCATCTTGGGAAGGAATCCAAGCAGCGCGGTAATTTTTTCCGTCAATTCCAGTAGTTGGTACAAAGAATGAATATTAAAACAAATTGGAACTGTAGTTTTTTTAGTTTGCAGAATGTAAACTGTAATTATTTTAGTTTCAATCATCGTCATATGTTGTGATATTGTTTGTAGTTTAATATTTTATTCACTTCAGAAATGGGTTTCAGAGTGCTCGAAAATAAACATGGTGTCCACTGCAATATGACATTGTTGTTTAATTTTTATCAAGCCGTAGCATGTGCTGAAGCAAATGCAACGCTAATATCTCCGTTTGTTGGTCGCATTCGTGACTGGTATTTGAAAAATGGCGACTCAAAAGATTTTAGTCGTGACACAGATCCTGGTGTTCAGGTTTGTACTCATTTATGTGCTTTGAAATTTATTCTTGTTTACATATGAGAAAAAAAAAAGATTTCTACAGTTCCAGTTTGCTTGTAATTAATATTGAAAATGTTAACAAATTTACAGTAAAAAAGATTACCTCTTTTAGAATGTACGGAAAATTTACACTTACTACAAAAAATACGATTACCAAACGGAAGTAATGGCAGCTTCATTTAGAAATACGGATGAAATAAAGGGTTTAATAGGCTGTGACCTAATGACCATCAGGTAAGAGCAGTTTTTTACTGCATCCTTCTGTGATTATTACAAGTGCTGAAAATATTTTGGGCTATTTTTCAGTGCTGCATTACTAAAAGATATATCAGAGGATAAAGAATCTGTTCCTGTGGTTCTCAGCCCGGAAAAAGGTGTGTTACTTATGTTTTACTTGAATAATGTCATTTATTATCTTATTGAATGAAGAGTCTTGATTCTTACTGGTTACTTCCTTCCTTTTTGTAAAATAAACAAAGAACTTTTTCAGCCAAACAATCTAATTTGCAAAAAATTTCACTTACTGAAGCAATGTTTCGATTTGAAATGAATGAAGATAAAATGGCGGCAGACCTTTTGGCTGATGGAATTCGTCGCTTTGTTGCTGATGCACGAGCAATGGAAGCATTGATTGAAAAAGTTCTATAAGCGAAAATTTTCCGTCATACCAAGACTAATTATCTTCTTAAACTTGTTTTTTTTGTCAGCAAGCATTATATTTTGAACGAAGAAAATCTTTTAAAAAGGCTGGAAAATTCGCATGTGATCTTATATTGCTATGTTGCTATACAAGAGCGTTTTCTGGGTGCTGATAGATTTTCAACATCTGGATTGTCTAAGAGGTTGTATTTAGTCTCAAAGAATAGTTGTTTGCTATGTTTTACAAGCCCTCTTCTTTAAATTCGCCGTCCTCCTGGTAGATATGGGTGCGATTTCTACAAGCACACTATACAGCTGTAGCAGCAAAGATGTACTTTTCTGTTCTCAACATTATGAAGTCCACATGCTAGCTCACATACCTTGGCAAGTGCAGTTTTTCTAAACATCCAGGTTGACTGAGAATTCTGTATTAATAGCTGTTTGATACCATGGTCTGTAGTTTTAAGTTGTCTTGTTCTATGTGTATACTCCAGTATAATAGTTTTCTGAAATATAGCAAAGTAAGCGAATTTCTAGAAGTTATTCAGTATTATTTATCTGGAAATACACGAAGCTGTAATTTACTCTGTTTTCAAATATACTTTATATCTAATTGTTTCAAGAATATTTTATAATATTCACTTAGTTAATATGTTAAAAATAGGATTTGTTCAATTTCAATTGTTTGAGAGTGTCTTTTTACAGTTTTGGAAGTCTGCGATCTTACAAAGAGGGAATCATATTTTGTTTTTTGAGTGATGTGTATTTTAAATCATATATTCTTTTTAAATTTTCTTATCATCTATTCTTTGTTTCTTAACTGCAGTAGTATAGGTAATCAGCATTTGATAGCTGTTGTGGATTAAACACATTATAATTTTGTTTTTTTTATTTCAAGCATTTTCAAAGTATTGTATGTGTAAATCAACTTTTTCAATATTGTTTTTAGCTTTGCTTGGCAATTTAAAATTAAACTGACTTTGTAATTTTTCTAAACTTAATATTTTTGTTCTAAATTGTAATTTTACGAATACTTTCTTTGTGATAAAGCCTTTTAAGAAATGAGTTTTTGAACAAAATTATCGTATGCAAATATGTGAATGGCCAGTAGTTTTGACATGTTCATTCTTCGTCAAGTTTATTGTCAGCGTTTTCAAGAGCAGTTAAATTTAGTGAAGTTTTATTTTCCACAATTTCAAGCAGTAATCACTTTGATGCCTTTTTATTGACATCTGAGTCCATAAACCGTATAGCACGTTGTTTATTGATATAATGCCAAATTCGCATTACTGTATTCATCAAACCACCGAATAACGTTGATATAATGAGAAGAGTTACCACTGAAAATTTTTATTCTACTATTTTCAACAAAAGAATTGCATAAAATTGCGACTTGCGTATTTTTTGTGTACTAAAAGTGGCTGAAATACTAGTTGAAGGAATGAATATGCTTGACTAAGAAGTAGAAGTTGTCAAATGCTAACGCAAAAGAACTTGTTTTAAGTAACGATAGCGTTAGACAAAGTTGGTAAGTGTGGTGCATCACTAATATAAGCGAGGAGTATTATAGTAACTCACGAATATGCTTACAGATGCGTGCTATATCGGGAGACCGAGGAGGTAAACCCGCAGTGAAAACTCTCTCGAAGAATTCTCGTTCAACAGTAAGTGTTATCATATACCATAAGCATAATGATAAGCATATCACTGATGAAACTTCTACGATATTCTGTAATCAAGTTATCAACTTGTATGGGATATTTATTTAGTACCAAATAATAGTTAGCATTTAATTTTTCAACTAAAAAGTAGTAAAAACTAGTTTTTTAAGGATAAAAATATGAAATATTAAAAAATATTGATGAACTTTTATTTTTGTTTTTTCCAAATTTGTCATCAATACTTCTAAATTTTACTACATGAATCATTTATAAAATATTGAATTATTAAAATAACGTGTAAAACTGAAAAGATTTATATTAAAATAAAACAGTATTTAAATGAACAAAATAGATAACGATAATTTTATCAGAAGTCATTCGTTAAATTTAAAGTTTATTGGTTTATAAGTATTAATTAGGTTGTACAAATATTAATTGCTCTGAATAAATAAAACTTTGCAGTATTTCAATAATGTAGAAATATTCAAAACAAAAATACATTCATACACAAATAGCGGTTGCTTCGAATATTTAAAATTTGCAAAAATAAAAAAAATGATTTGAGAATATTTCTGAAATATGCTAATATTGCATGTACACTTGCTTAATAATACAAGGAGATCAGTAACAATTTAAAAAGTATTATTTTTTTACTAAAAATAGATATTGCAAAGAAGTCCGTTTCTTTTATTTTTATGAATTAAAGATTCAAATCACAAATTTTTATGAAGAATAAGAGGTTATATAAAATTTTAGAGAATTATCACTGCTTTTTTCATACTATTAATGTAAAAAAATTGGCTGTAAGTAAAAGTAAATTTTTTAAATCAATCAAGACTAATGTCTTCCTAGATCAAACCACTGATTAAAAAAATGAAACTTGAGCTGAAAGCCATTTTTAGAAGAAATTTTTAGAAGCCATTTTCCAGATCAAACGATTGATTTAGCAGATCAATCCTTAATGAAATTAATTCAATTATAGTCATAAAAAATGATTCATACTGTCATTTCAATTTGTGGCTTCTGCCATTTCCAAATAGGCTGCAAAATATTTCCTGATTTGCAATACTTTTCTTGACAAATTTCACACCGATCATTATTATTAGAACGCATAAGCCATTCGTTCAAGCAACGCTCGTGAATGTCACCCATCTACAACTTTGACTTAATATGCGTATTTAATCAAAAGTAAATTACTGCAAGTGTAAAGTTAAGTTAAGCTCAATAACTGTAATTTTGGCATAATTTTGAGACAATATTTCGTCGATAAATTCAGTTTGATCAATTATCATATCAGCTTATCAGTCTCTTCAATTTGGATATCTCATAAAAACGCAGTTATTGAATGAATTCTTTATTAAATTATACTAATTGTGTCAAATAATAACAATTTTAATAATTCATATTTCCTTTAGTTTATTAGCATTGTTTGCTTCATTGAGATACCGCAAGAACAGTAAGAACTCAAAAATATTTGCATACTCAAATATTGAAATTTATTCTCGTATATTTTACAAGCATTTTAGCCAAAAATTAAATTGCCGCCAAACTTTTTTATTCATATGCACAAATTTCTGACTATAGAAAAGTTTAAAGTATGCAAAGCAGACTTGATATACTGTATCGACTGCATCGTATATATAATAATTAAATGATCTTAATGGTACATAAAATCTACCCTCTAATTACAAATATCTATGCACTATTTAAAAAATATCTGCAGAATCGCTCTATATATAATGTATTATTTAAAAAAATTATCTAAGTTGGAACTATAATTTCACATGACTTTATGGTTTTGTTTAAGAACTGAAGTGATTTTGTGAACTATTAGCAGTGATATGAATAACTAGGCGCAAATAATTTTGCGCATATTAAATCAAATATTTACAAAGATTTGGAATGATTCAGCGATCTTAATAAGCTTTAATCATAATTAGATTTGAATAGAGATAAAGCTGAATGCATTGCTTTTTAGAGGAGGATCTTATTCTCAAAAAGAAAATTTTTCAAATTAAAATTATTGTATATGTAGAAAAATATGCGCATATATATATATATATATATAT